TGTGCCGATACATCACTTTTCCAAATAAAAATATAAAGTTTAACAATGCAATTTGCTGCTAACAAGCATTAAAATGGAAATATATTTTGCTTGCTTTCACTGCAACTTTCATTTGTGGTCTACATTCTGGCATTCTTTGTTTTGTTTTTGTTGTTGTGGTCATTGTTTTTGAGACAGGGTATCACTCTGTCACCCAGGCCAGAGTATAGTGACACAGTCACTGCTCACTGCTGCCTCAACCTCCCATGCTCAAGTGATCCTCCCACCTCACCTTCCCTAGTGGCTGGGATCACAGACACATGCAACCATGCTGAGCTACTTTTTGTTCTTTGTATCTGAACCAAGCAACGCTATAGGAAGATTTTTCTTTAATGTTAAAAATTAACATTTTAAAATTTATCAGGACATAAATATCAGAAATTTAAGTAAAACAATCAGGATACAGACACAGAGAAAGACACAGCTACACACCAAAACAAAACAGGGGTATCCTGAATTTCTAAGAATGAGTCAGTCCTGGCTTTCTGATTACCCAGCACAATCATGTTATGAAAACATTAGAAATTTTCATGATGCAAAACCTATCTCTTGCAGATTGGAGTAACCCATATGCATGGTTTCCAACAACCAAGTTCTTCTGTCTACCCATATACATATTACCAGAGTACTTTTTCAAGAACCCTTGTTCTACTATAATTCTATTTTATAGCTCCTAAAAACAACAAACTATGACATTATAAGAAGTCAACTCTAAAATTTAACCCTTAATAAAATCACAATATTATCCCAAAACCTGAGAGGATTTGCTCTCTGAATGATTTCAACAATTCGTTTACTTAAGGTGCAATGTCAGTTTATGTAAATAAGGAAATCTTTATGGAAAACACAAATGTAACCAACTATATAATATAAAATTATCACCTTAAATTATAATTTAATAGTAATAATTGCCAAGACTGTGTGAAAAGCATTTAGGAAAAGTCACTGATTTAATAACATAGTCAATATAAAATGGACTTCTATTTTAAAAGTATCCAATAACAATAAATAACAAAATAATAAAAAAACAAAAAATAATGAATTTCGATGTGATCAAAAACTAACAGTCATGAACAGGTTGAATTCATAGTTATATATGGGAATATTTTTCAAAAAGTTCTCCCACAAGAAATTATTTATTGTGAATAACAGATTAAATGGGAGTGAGAAAGATGAGGAAAAAGGGGTTGTTCTCAGCTAGGTATTGGCAACATTATTCTGAAAAACAACTAGATATAGTAAATATTTTAGGCTCTGTGGGCCATACAGTAGCTGTTGCAACTGCTTAACTTTACTGTAAACTAATAAGCATGGCTGTGTTACAATAAAACTTTATTTATGGACACAAATGTGAATTTCATATAATGTTCATATGTCAATAAATTGCATTCCTCCTTTGAATTTTTTAAACTGTTTTAAAACAAAACCATTCTTGGTTTGTAGGTTGTACAAAAATGGATGTCAGGCCAGATTTAGCTCATGGGCCAGATTTAATCAAACCCTGTTCTAAATCGTATGTTTAATCACACTCTCAGCCTTCAATCACAATACAGAAACGAAATCTTTCAGCCTTCAATCACAATATAGAAACTAAATCTTTCATTCTCCATATTTTCCGCATAATTTTCCTAAATATTTTATGGTCTATTTCCTATTCTCTTTCTAATAAATAAATAAATAAATAAATCTTCATTTTTAATAGCTATATATATAAAAAACTTTTTTTTCTTTTTTAAGACAATGCCTTGCTCTGTTGCCCAGGCTGGAGTGCAGTGGCATCTCAGCTGCCTGCAACCTCTGCCTCCCAGGTTCAAGCGATTCTCCTGCCTCAGCCTCCCAAGTAGCTGGCATTACAGGCATGCAGCACCACACCCAGCTAATTTTTTGTATTTTTGGTAGAGATGGGGTTTCACCATGTTGGCCAGGCTGGTCTCAAACTCCTGACGTCAAGTGATCTGCCCACCTTGGACTCCCACCAAAGTGCTGGTATTACAGGCATGAGCCACCAAGCCCAGCCTAAAACATTTAAATGACAAGCAAAATAAGGTAAATCTTTACAAATGCCATAGGACATTTGCAAATTTTCTTATGTAAGAGGAGATAAAGATCATATTCATACACTGTGAGAATGTAGAATTCACATTCACTGACTACAACACAAATCTAGAATTTTTTTTTTTTTTTTTTTTGAGACAGAGTCTCGCACTGTTGCCCTAGCTGGAGTCCAATGGCACGATCTCGGCTCACTGCAACCTCTGCCTCCTGAGTTCAAGCGATACTCCTGCCTCAGCCTCCCAAGTACCTGGGACTACAGGTGCCCGCCACCATGCACGGCTAATTTTTTGTATTTTTAGTAGAGACGGGTTTCACTATATTGGCCAGGCTGGTCTCGAACTCCTGACCTCGTGATCCACCCACCTCAGTCTCCCAAAGTGCTGGGATTACAGGCGTGAGCCACCTCGCCCGGCCAAATCTAGACTTTCTTAATGATAAAAAAGTCCCTGTTAGATAATCAAATGGAAACGGATTTCATTTCTAGTTACTTTACATAACAAAAACACTATATAACATATGACATGATGAGTTAATGGATGCACGCTTTGAGAATCAATACCTGCCAACATTTAAAATTTTAAAAAGACACTATGTGCCTCCTGATGAGAAAATACAACGGCACCTACAGTCCTATCTAAGGGATTAAGTTTAAATGTAATCAAACTCTGACCCTACCTGCCAACTTAGAAAAAAATATAGAACAAAATGTTTAACTTCACCATGAATACAAGATAGACAAAATACAGACTGTAGGGAACTCAGCAGGTCAAACAACTCAGGTACTTCAGTGAATAACATATAAAGAAAAGAAAGGGCTGGAGGGAAAAACCTACTGCTTAAGAAAGTCTTCAAAGGAAAATATAGTCCAGACTCAGTGGCTCACCCCTGCAATCCCATCACTTTGGAAGGACGAGTCGGGAGGATCACTTGAAGCCAGGAGCTCAAGACTAGCCTGGGCAATGAAATGAGACACCGTGTCTCTAAAAAAACTTAAAAATAAGCCAGCCATGGTCCATGGTGGTATGCATCTGTAGTCCTAGCTACTCAGGAGGCTTAGGCAGGAGGATCACTTGAGCCCAGGAGTTCAAGGCTGCAATGAGCTGTGATTATGCCACTGCATTCCAACCTGGGCAACAGAGTAAAATCCTGTCTAAAAAAAGTGCGGGGGGAGGGGGGGCGCGCAGGGGAGGCCGGGTCCCGTGGCTCACACCACTTTGGGAGTAATCCCAGCACTTCGGGAGGCTGAGGCGGGCAGATCATGAGGTCAGGAGTTCAAGACTAGCCTGGCCAACATGGTGAAACCCCATCTCTACTAAAAATACAAAAATTAGCTGGGCGTCGTGGCCCACAGCTGTAATCCTAGTTACTAGGGAGGCTGAGGCAGGAGAATAGCTTGAACCAGGGAGGCAGAAGTTGCAGTGAGCAGATACGACACCACTGCACTCCAGCCTGGGTGACAGAGCAAGACTCCATCTCAAAAAAAAAAAAAAAAAAAAAAAAAAAAACAAATAAACAAAAAAACTTTTTTGAAGTGAACATGAACAATTCTAAACTATAGTGTCTAGAGACGCACACTTAAGTGACAAAACCATAAAGAAACAGAAATAGGGCCAGGCGCAGTGGCTCACGCCTGTAATCCCAGCACTTTGGGAGGCCGACGTGGGCACATCACGAGGTCAGGATATCGAGACCATCCTGGCTAACATGGTGAAACCCTGTCTCTACTAAAAATACAAAAAAATTAGCCGGGTGCGGTGGCGGGCGCCTGCAGTCCCAGCTACTCAGGAGGCTGAGGCAGGAGAATGGCGTGAACCCGGGAGGCAGAGCTTGCAGTGAGCTGAGATTGCGCCACTGAGATCTGCCTGGGCGACAGAGCAAGACTCCGTCTCAAAAAAAAAAAAATAAAGAAACAGAAATAATTTATTATTCTGAAAGTCAGAAGTTACTTTTGGAGGGAAAAAGAGGGTTGTGACTGGCATAGAACACATTGAAGAGCTTCTGCAGTGGCTGGTAAAGTTCTATTTCTTGACTTAAGTAATAATTACAAGCATGTTTACCTTAAAATAATTCACCAAGACATATATTTGTTTTGAATGGTTTTCTGTATCTGTGATCTATGTTATGATGAAAAGGTTGAAAGCTAATTAAAGCAAATTAATTTCATACACATATCATACAAATGATACACACACTTTTTTACATATACATGTAAAAACTTAGAGGGTTCAATCAAAGCTCTAGTAAGAGCAAAAAAATCGTAAATTAGCACTCTGTTAAATGTAAAACAAAAGAAAATATAACAAATAAATGAGCCAGCACTTATCTTAAGAAGATTATAAAAACAAAATAAACCAAATAAAATAGCAGACAGAGAAGCAAACAAGCTAGTTCTTTCCTTCTTTGCAAGCTCATTAAAATAGACTAAATTTTGATAAGTTGACCAAGTGGAAGGGGAAAAAACAAAGTATTCTTAGTAACAGCAAGAAAGATAATATAATACCAGCCCTCAATAAGATTATTTAAACACTGGAGCGGGAGGGTGAAGATTATGTACAGCTTTAGGCCAACAAATTTGAAGAGCTAAATGAAATAAAAAATAAGAAAGGACAAATCTGTTCTAAGAAAGGACAAATTTCCAAAAAGAAAGAAACTGTCCCAGTTCATTTTATGTTGGCATGATCCTAACCCCAAAACATGACAAAGAGAGCACAAGAGGAACGATCTCACAATACACCATGAACAAGAAGTAATCTTTTCAAAAATGCAAGGGCAAAGATTAGAAAGTCTATTAACTGATTATGTAAGTCAACTAAAGGAAAAAAGACGTAACAATGTGTCACTCAATGTGGCAAACCTTTGATTAAAAAAACACTTTGTTTCAATTAGCAGAGTATGATGGCACATACCTGTAATCCCAGCTACTTGGGAGGCCTCTGAGGGAAGATCTCTTGAGTCCTTGAGATGGAGGCTACAATGGGCTATGACTGCACCACTATATTCCAGACTGGATGACAGAGTGAGACTCCATCTCTAAAAAAAATTTAATTAACTAAATTAAAATAAAAATAAACTAAGCAAACAAAATATAAAACTTCCATGCATCAATACAGCATTAGGGTGAAAAAAAAACTCATAGATAGCATTTATAATGCAAAACATAAATGGATTTTGCCATTTAAACACAGACACCTAAAGATATTAGCTATTAATGCCAATCCTATTAATTCAACATTGTTAGAGAGATTTTACCCAACCCAGTAGGTCAAGTAAAAGAAATCAGAAGTATAAATTTTAAAAGGAAGACAAAATTATAATTTGCACCTAATAGTGTCTACAAAAACTGAAGATAATCAAATTTAAAAAATTTTAAATCATAAAATAAGACTGCATGACTTATAAAAAAAAAAAAAAAGAAGAAAGAAAGAAAGATTCCCTATACACTAAACACTGCTCAAAACTTAATATTTACTGTGAGTGATATGCCAGGGACTGTGCTAAACACCAAACAAACCAATACCAACCATAACTAAAATAACCCAGCACAAGGGCAACAACAGTCTTGGTGCATTATGAAAACCTAGATATAAAAAAAAAGTGTGACTTGTTTGAAGGACCCAAATGGCAAATCAAGATGCACAACATACTCCTGGATGCGAATGCTTATTATTGGCATATATAAATTTTCTATAAAGTAATTGATACATCTAATGCAAATCTAATAAAAATTCCAAAGGGACTGTGAGACAGAAGACGGCAGGAAGATTCTGAAGTCCATGTAAATTGTCTGAGAATACCTACAATTTTTAAAAGAATAATGATATAAAGGGAATAGCCCTATAATGTAGAAAAACAATAAATCCTGTTACTTAAAGGTGTAAGGTTTGTATAAAGAGAGACATACAGATCAACAGATTAAAACGAAGTCCCAAACAAATCCGTAAATATATCAGTTACGTACATGATAAGGGGATATTTGTTGATGGATTAGTTATGGTAAGAGAGTTTTCTGGTTGCACAACTGGATAGAAAGATATTCTTGACTAAAATTGGGAAAACTAAACAGAGAAGGACTGAACAAAGGAAGAATATAATAAACTTAAATTTAGACTCGTCAAATTTGAGGAACCATCATGAAATCCAAGAAAAGTGACATCAAATAGATAGATAGATATGCAGGCCTGGAGGTCATAACAATAGCCTAGGCTGGATCTGTTAACTTGGGAGTCCTGCATACAAAGTGGTTAACTGAAGTCATAGACACAGACTAGATTGCCAAGAGAAGGGTATAGTGAGAAGAGAAAAGCACTAGATCTTGAGGAATACAACACAATGAATCAGGAAAATCAGGAAGGCATAATATCATAGAAGCAAAGGCAAAAATATATTTCAAAATGAAGTACACTTAAGGTCTGAAAATGTCACCTGGAATTCTCAAAGTACATTCTGTATAATATAAGGTTATAGACTCACAATGTGAAGAGTAAAGAATTAAGATTTCAAAACAGTTAAAATTTCAAAAATTTTAGAAAGGGCTTATAAAATTTTAAAAGGAAATGAGAGAAGACAAAGATATTTTTAAAAAGCAGTCTGGAAGGACATATTCAAGTAAGAAACAATGGTCATCACCGGGGAAAGAATTACAAGTGGTTTTTAACTTCATACATTTCGGTACTGTTTGACTATTTTAGCAAACACATGAAGTACTTATACATTAGCAAAAAATAAAGATAGTTGAACCTGGAAAAGCAAATTGGAAAAGAAAACAACCCAGACATTGCCTTATAAAAATATTTTTATCATTACTTAAAAGTTGAAAAACTTTACAGAGCTCCTCACAGATCTACTGCATTTTCTTTCATGATAGCCATACCCTATAAAATGAAATACTTTTATTCATCTTTTAACAAGCATTTATTATACATCTATTATGAATCAAATCATTGTGCTGAAAACATTGGACGCAAAAATATAAATAAATTACTACCCCCCCTTAAGCTTCATGGGCCTACAGTTTAATGGAAAACAGACATGTAAACAATCATAATTCAATATGATCAGTGTACACACAAAGTGACAATGAATGTACAAGCTAAGATATTTTATGAGAGAAATAAATTTGAACTGATTCTTAAAGAAAGAAGGAGGTAGGAGTTCCAGGCAAGGAACTTCTAATATATTTAGAATCTGCATTCACCCATCCTACCCACCATGCTAGTCGATGCCCTATGTATGTCCCACCACTACCACTGAGGATCTCATCAAATCCTCACCTCTCTTTTAAGTAGTCAGCATAGACAAATGGCTATCATTTTTCCTGTATGTTAAAAACAAATCAGCATCCAGACATCAAATCATGATGATTTCAACATCCCGCTTACAGATTATTTTTAATTTTGAACCTGTCACAATGCATAGTAGTACCATGAGTGGGAAAAAAAGAAGAAAAAAATAAAATGAGCCCCAAAATCAAATATAACATATATTTACTTTTGTTGTGCTTTTGCTCAATTATATAAGAAAAAAATGAAAGTTGAGAACTCTAAAGTTAGGTTTTTCTACTAGGAAGGAAAAAAAAAAAAAAAAAACCTCTGTTCTTTAATGTTTAGAATAATTAGTATTTAGTTGTTATTGTCCCAGTACTTATTACTCCTAAAACCTGTTCTGGGGAAACTTGTGTGCCTAAGGAACTGGATTTAATGGAACCTATTAACTTTTTTAAGACACTGTCTAAAAACACTGATTGCATATCACTAGGAGGTCAATCCTACAATCATCTTTTCCCAAATGGTCACTACTCCAAAGCACATTAGCTGTTCATTTAGTAACAGTTTTGGTGTACTATGTTTAAAGTCCTTAAGGAGTATCAGTTAACTGATTATGTTGCTTGAAAGCAGTATTAAGTAGTAAAACTAATTCATCAATCATCACATTTTCCTAAATATTTTTCATATATTGCTATTTTAAGAAAAGAAAGACCATAATAATTACAGAAAAAGTAATCAGTACTACAATTTTCTTTGGAAAAGGTAAATATATGCATGGCTGGCTGTTGAAATAAAAGTCTTTCCAAGAAGCAAAGTGATAGGCCAGGAGTTGAAAAGAATCAACTGCAAAGAAAACCTCATTTCTATTTTCAATTGCTATTTCTGTTGACAACAACAAATAGTCGTTTATTTATATATCTATTGCCTCAGATAAAACAACACAACCAATGTATATGATATTTCACATGCTTTAACAAAAAGAAATAATCTCATTCCTTTATAAAGGATAACTTTTCAAATTAGAGTAATTTACATGCTTTTAGTGTTTTTCTGTTTTCGAAAATTAGTAGGTTACGTTTGAAAAACTTTGCCAAAGGAAATATAGTCCCACATTTTCACAAAGGGAAGAAATGTTAAAAATTCAAACTTTCAAGCTAAGGTTACAGGTATTCTAAATGAAAAATAATTTTTTCCTCCAATAGTCTCTTTAATTACTATAACTATACTGCAGTATCCGTCCTATATTATAACATTATAGCACAATATTTGAGATTGCTTTTTAAGCACTCAGTATTCTACGGAGGAAAAACATGAAACTAAAGCCACATTAAAATGACAATTTCCTCATTCAGTAGAGAAAAAAAATCACTTAGTTCTTTCCTGAATAAATCAGTTTTAAAGACACTGTAATATATAGTGATAAAGATCTCAATTCCGTAACACAGATAAGCTTAAGTGCTTAATATATTCAGTTATGTGAGCATTTTGTACACACTAGGAGTTCATGGATTACACATCTTACAGTCTGCTGTGAACATGTGGAATTACGCACTTACCTTAAAATACCACCCCACCACAAAGAATTATTATTAATAGTTTTGTCACCAAGAGCAAATTTTATTTCTAAAAACTGATAAGTAGGGACAAACTAAAATACAAAAACAACACAAGACAAAACACAACAAACAAAAACAAAGCTGCTTACTGAAGGTAAAAGGTAACAGAAGGCCACAGTTTTGAAGATCTGATACACAGGAATCAGGGATCCCCTTCTGGAGCAAATCTTTAAATTAATAAAAGTAGGGCCTTCTGTTTACTTTTTGCTATAAAACACTCATCATCAATTTCAAAATAAGAACCTTAAGAGTTAATAAATAGTAACACAAACCAAAGCTAATGATATTAAGGATTCCAATAAATTTTAAATAAACTACCTAAGACTAAAAGCTGAAAATTTTAAGCCCTCCTTCCTTTTCTCTCTTTCCCTCTCCTCTCTCTGTTTTACTGTCTGTATCCCTTCACATATATATGCATATACACATAAATAAAATTTATTCCTTTTAGAACACTGGGTAGTTAACCAGAAAAATTAATAAAATCTTGAATAAACAAACTTAGAAGGTCTATTTAGTTGACATTTACTTTTTGAATATGGAAATTCTGTTGTTCGACTTCACTAGACACTAGAACTCCTCTTAGAATATTTTGGTAAACAAAGAACCTAGTCTTTTTGTTAAATTCAAACGGCAGGAAAGGAATGTCTTTGATATACATAACTAAATCATCATCTTATTATTCTCCTATCCTAAATCATAATTTTATATACATATATAAAACATTTCCTATGCCTACATTTTTACCAACACATGAAATTTTGCTTCCCTAACACTGTCCTAGCAAAATACATTAAACTTCATACCAATTATATGATTTGGTAATATATATTCCTTAAATATAAAGATGCCTCCAGTAATTCATTTTGTTTCTAAATAGACATCTCTCATCTCAGACTTTTTATGCTCAATATTTCTTAAGAGTCCACAAAAGAATAATTACCAAAATTAGTGAAATGTTTCACAGTCCTTATTTGGGAGAATAACCTGACTAAAGCAGACCACTCACTAATAAAGTGCAACTTAATAAATCATGTGGAATCTTATTTTGTTCAAACCCTTACTAACTCCTAGCACCATCTGTTACCATCAAAACTATATGACAAGATATGATATATAATTAATAGGTAAACAACAATCTAATTAAAATGGA